TGTGATGTCTCTTGAAGATGTCACGTGGAGATTTGGAGAGAAAACATTATTTTATATTAAGACAAATATAATTTAAGTATGGAACAGAATGCAGAATTTGCTTCAATTTTTACCATAAGGTTGGAGATCTCAAAGAAGTTCCATATTGGTGGCAGATGTTTGAGGTTGTGCTCCCAGTTTCCCAGAGTCATGTTCTCTCTTACTGGTCTTAGGGGTTTTTGATGGAAATGCTGGAGATGCTCTAGCCTAGACTCTATCAAACCTGAAGCACCATCCCTTGTCCTTCATTGGAGTCCCCCCGACCTGTTTTTCTCTGATGATCTCCCATGGCCCACACTGAGACCCTGGCCACATTAGGCTGCCTGTTGTCCTCTGAACCTGCCAGCTCATTCCTAATCCTGCTGTGTTATTTAGAAGCCTCTGCTCCTTTACCTCCCCAGTTCCCAGCTCTGCCATGTGCTACCTTCTCTGAGCCCCAAAACCTGATACCTTACATGGGATTCCATCTCTTTGATCCCCCACAATGTGAATATTAGTCCCATTCAGCCTATCGTCGTCCATCCTGTTTGCCTCCCCAGACTGTACAGGCTCCTAGAAGTTAGGCTCTGTGCCTTACCATTCTTAGGGATTTGTCTTAGCACCTAACATTTGCTGAAGGAAAGAAGAAAGGGGAAGAGTGGGTGTGGGGGCCCATTTCTCTGATCCTTAACTTACCCCTTGATAAATTAACCACATCAAATCATTGCTGCCTCCACTTGAGTCTTAGGGTTTCTTCGTGGGGCTGTGAGACTCATCTACAGCTGTCTTCGTTTGCTCCCATTTGCTCACCGCAGTTCGGCAAACCAGACGGTTTGGGTGTTCAGCATCCCTGATGAACTTAAGGGCCTCACTTCAGATCCAGGTTTCTAGGTGGGCTCCATGCTAGTTAAGGGCCCTGGTTTATACTCTATTGCCAACCTGCTATTTGCTGAGCAGAGCCACAGCACCCCAACTCTATCCCCTCCATCTTCCTCTTCATTTAGTGGTTTTCTCCCATCTCAGTTCTAGGGTATACCTTCTGCTTAGGCATTATTATTTCAACTACTTGGGAGCCCTCTGGCTGTAGTCCTGGTTTCTCCCGTTGGCGTCAGGACAAAAGTGGGCACACATGGCATTTGCCTTCTTGCCATGAGCTTGGGTCTCTTGGAAGCCATGGCCTCCCTACTGTGAACTCTCTGGCCTGTGATGACCTCTGCTCTCCATCTTAATATACCTTGAATATTTTGTTCTTGCTGCAGTCCATGATAGGCTTCCTGTAATTCCATGTAGGCAGCCTGTACCTCAGAATCAGAGTGCGCCTGCAGGCCCTTTCTTCTTCCCTGGGCTAGGATTGTCACCCTGACCCCACGGAGCCTTGCCCGTGCATCCCCAGCAGGGTGTGTCAGGAAGGCTGGATGGGGGACAGGCAGCCCCTCCCAGAACTGGACTCAGCACCACCGTTATATCCTGACTCTCTTTGGCCCTGCCTGGTATTTCCTACCAGCGTCAACCAATCCTGCAGCTTCCAGACTTACTGCTTGTCCCTGTCCACTGAGTGAGGCGAAGCCCCTGGCCTCAGTCCCAACTCCCCAGCTTCCTGACCTCCAACAGTTTGGGGGAGCTTAATCCTCAGCCAGCCTGTCTCCAGCTCAGACAACAGCTTGGCGCCCCCCGCCTCTGCCTGGCTAGCCCACCCAGCCACGAGTCAGCTAGAGGCCTGTGCCCCCACCCTTTATCTCCCTGTTGCCTGCCTGACTGTGGTGTTCTTGCCTTTTCAGTTTCACAGGCAAGGCCCTTCTCAGCCTCATCACGCCCTTCCCACTGTTACTACCCCAGTCAAGAGCCTGAAAGCTTCCTTCTTTCTTTCACCAGTCCCTGATCCCCAAAGTGCCTCTTAGCTTGGGTTATTCTGTCCATTTTGTTGTTACCTTATTGACTGGGCCCTCCCTTATGTGTAGGGTAGAGTATTCACAATACACCTTTGCATTCCACTCTCAAATGCTGCATACTTACCTTTATTCAATAGAGAAATTCTTCACTGGGAGATTCAGGGTCTAAGAAGGTGAACTCAAGCAAGGGCAGATGTGAGGATGAGATCTTACCACTCTAGCCTCAGTGCCTTACTCAGTGCCCAGCTCATAGAGGTGCCAAATAAACATCTGTTCAATGAGTAAGGAGGGAGGGGAAAGCAACTTGGATAGAGTTTTACCCCCACTTATTTTTACATCAAGTTTTATTTTAACCCTATAACAATACTAGAGGTAGGTAGGGAAGGAATTATGTTTTCCCTTTTAGAGATGGAAAAAATATGTCCAGAGAGGTAAAGAACACATAGCTAGGAAGTTGGGGAGCGAGGACATGAACCCAGATCTTTGTCTCCAAACCTAATTTCTTCCGGCTATACCAAATCACTTTCCTAGGTGGGAGCTGGACAATTTCTGCCCTCTTCCCCCAAGCCATCCTCTTATTCAGACTTCTCCCCACCCAGCCAAACAGGCTCTCCCCCAGCAACCACTGAGTATAGAGCACTCCCCTGGCCCCTTTGGCCTCCTCCTCCCCCATAGAGTCCTTAGTTCCTGGGACTGAGAGCTGAGGTTCAGAGGGGCCAGGAAGGGGGGAGGGTAACGGCTAGCTCCAAAACAGCCAAGGCAGCTGTCCCTGTCACAGAGAGAGGAGACTGTGTGACGGTGTGGGTCTGTCTGCCTGAATGTGGGAGCACATGTGTGGGAGAGTATGTGTTTGTATGCCTCTAGCTCCAAGTCCAAGTGCTTATTTTGTCTGAGTGGAGGCCCATGTGTGTCTGCATGTGTGTCTGTCTGTCTCTGGGAACACACAGCCTGAAGTCTGCTTTCTCGGCCTCGTCTTTTACTTTGGCCCTTGTCTCTCCTCACCCTGCCTCCCTCTGCTGCAATAGAGGGTGAAACCAAGACACAGGTATGGAATGCTGGGGGAAGGGGAGTTTGGAATAGTGGAAGTCTGGAGCCAAAGCAGACTGGAAGGACAAATGGCACTGTGGGATTTAGCTTTCCCTTCAGGCGAACCCAGTTATCCCTCTTTTCCCAGTGGTGTTGCTCCCATGGCCTCCGGAGAAGTCAGGGGCATGGTTTGCATTTCGAGAGCATCTTGGATATGAAGTAAAAGGAGACTTCAGAACACCCCCTTTTCCAGCTCCCAGTTCTAAGCCTTTTGAGCTATTTGGGAAGAACTACCAGTCAAGGCTGCCAGAGGCCCCACCCAAGGGCATTTCCCTTCTATCAGACCATCACTGGGGCAGCCCCAAGCCTGATTCCTGACTGCAGATCTGGAAGGGGAGGTAAGCTGAGCACACCCACCCCGAACCTGACGTCTCTCCTTCCCGGGTTCCCCTTTAGTCCTACCTCTCCAACCCCAGGAAAAGGTCCAAGGTCTAGACCCCTCTGCCTGCGGACAGAATGGGGACTGCTTTTCAACCTCCTGCCTTGACCTCTGTCCCATGCCCAATCTCGCTTGAGGGGGGGGTGGGCAGCTGTCATCTCTCAGCTGGTTGATGGGGGCATTACCATGTGCAAATAAAGGCTGCTGCCCATCTGTGCCTCCCTGAGAAAGGCTCCTAATAAATTCAGAGCAGCCAAGTGACACACATCTCAATCTAGGCTAATCCGCCACATTAATGCCACCTTGCACAGCCTGCATTAAGTCCTTGTTAATGGGGAGGCAGATGGACCCCTCCTACCCAGCTAGCTCTTCATCCTGCTCCTCTGTCCCTAGCCTTCTTTGGTTCTCCTCTAAGAGGCATCCAGAGTTCTTGAACCTCACTAGTGCTCCTTTCTCCTCATCCCACCAGAGGGGACTTGGAAGAGCCAGCAGGAAACAGGACCCTGCAGGGGAGACTTGGAGAGGGACCCAGGCAGTCTCCCGGGCAAAGTCAGGAGAGGTTTGGGATAGGCAGTAAGGGTGGGAATATGACCTTAAGAAGCCCACATCTACTGCTGAGGGTGGGGAGTGCTGGTAGAGACTGGCATGAGTAGAACTGGTAAGGGTGTGATAGGTGTCCAGGTAGGCACAGAAGCAGACAAGGCAAGAATGCCCAGGGATTTTCAAACTTATTTCTGATCCTGGAACCCTTTCTTCAAATGCTATCTCCCTAGAAAGGATAAACAAAACAGGCAAAAGCAAGACTGCCCTAGTTGAAGCAGATCCAAGCCAGGCCAGGCTAGAGCTCTATCCCTGAGGCTAGTCCCAAGTTCCAGCCCCTGAGGGGGTTTGGAACACAATTTGAAAAAGCAAATGAAGAAAAAGCATTAGCTGAGGAGTTTCCCAGATCTGGTTCAGATCCCAGTTCCACCACGTATGAGCTCTGTGACCTTAGTGGTGGCTTCAAGTCTCAGTTTCCTCACTGGAACAAGGGTGATAATACTTAATATCGATGCATTCTTGTGAGAAGGGAGATAATGAAGTAAAGGCAAATAGTAAGTACTCATAAATAATAGCAGTGATTTTCCTTGTGTGAGACATATTGTGCCTCATTCAGAATCAAACCTGCCCCACTGAAGAGTGAGTAACAGAGATTCAGGTAGTGTCTCATGTTAGCTGAGGGGCATGTATGAGTTTGTGGGGATACTGGACATACATGCGAAAGGGAACTGAAGTTTTTGAGGTTGTGGTATACAGTATGTGGTGTGCAATAGTGTAGTTTTCATTAACTTGATAAGTATCTATTGAACAGCAACTGTGCACCAGGCAGAGTTTTCGGTGCCCATCAGTGAACAAAACAGTTTGGTGTGCATATCTGTGCATGAAACTTCTGGGTATACACCTTCTCCCCCTTAGGCTACTGTTTCCCCATTCTATCCTAGGGTACGCACACGAGAGTAGCTTATATCGGTGGCTGAGAAAGGGGACAGTGAACTTGAGGGGAAACACTACTGGGAACGGGATAACTGTGAGATGTTAGCCCCATCAACCTGGTCTGTGTCTTCTCTCCTTTCCAGAGTCCTCCCTCCATGGAGTTCGGCCTGCTCAGCGAGGCGGAGGCCCGTAGCCCGGCCCTCTCGCTGTCAGATGCGGGCACTCCCCACCCGCCACTCCCAGAACACGGCTGCAAGGGCCAAGAGCACAGCGGTGAGCGCACCCCCTACTGGGAGTAGGGGAGATAGCAGCTCAATCCCTCTTGCGGAGGCGAGGGGACCTGAGAGTGGAAGGCAGGGTGGGAGTGAAGGCTCGGTGGAGGAGGTCTGGGAGCCGCAGAGTTCGCGCAGGCCTGGGCGTCCAGTGACCTGCCCCCATCTCGGCCCCCAGACTCGGAGAAGGCCTCGGCTTCGCTGCCCGGAGGCTCCCCGGAAGACGGCTCCCTGAAGAAGAAGCAGCGGCGGCAGCGCACCCACTTCACCAGCCAGCAGCTACAGGAACTGGAGGCGACCTTCCAGAGGAACCGCTACCCCGACATGAGTACGCGCGAAGAGATCGCCGTGTGGACCAACCTCACTGAGGCCCGCGTGCGGGTAAGGTCCTCTCAGACCTGCAACCTTCCCGGCACCGCCCCCTCCCAGTCCCCGGCCCGGGCCTCCCTCTAGCCTGACGCTCAGCGAGTAGCTCTGGAGCCAGCAGCCTGTGCCTCTGCCCTGACTGCCCACCCTCGGCCCAACACCCAACGTGCGGAGACCTCCGCCTGCTGCCCCGCACCGCCTCCTTAGAACCAGCCTCTGGCCTCTGCTCTGACTCCACCCTGTCGCTCCAGGCCGCGCGTTTCTTCTCTTTCGGCACTGTCTCTCGTTCTCTTCTTCACCCCTCCTTGACCCCATCCTACAGGACCCTCCAGACCATGCCCCCGCTGACCCAATCTTGCCGCCCACAACTGTTCTCAGCCCCTTTACGCGGTGCGCTGCCCCTGCCCCCGGCCTGGCTGCCCAATCCCGTCTCTAACCACTTCCGTCTCGTTTGTCCTCCGCCCTGTCCCTGCCCCAACCCGGGTCTCGGTGACCTAGCCGCCAGCCGCGCTGACCCCGGGCCTCCGCCCGGCTGCTGCTCTGACAGTCTTTCTCGCACTCCCGCAGGTGTGGTTCAAGAACCGGCGCGCCAAGTGGCGGAAGCGCGAGCGCAGCCAGCAGGCGGAGCTGTGCAAGGGCGGCTTCGCCGCGCCGCTCGGGGGGCTGGTGCCGCCCTACGAGGAGGTGTACCCCGGCTACTCGTACGGCAATTGGCCACCAAAGGCTCTCGGCCCGCCGCTCGCTGCCAAGACCTTCCCGTTCGCCTTCAACTCGGTCAATGTGGGGCCTCTGGCATCGCAGCCCGTCTTCTCGCCACCCAGCTCCATCGCCGCCTCCATGGTGCCCTCGGCCGCGGCCGCCCCGGGCACCGTGCCAGGGCCCGGGGCCCTGCAGGGCCTGGGCGGGGGGCCCCCCGGGCTGGCTCCGGCCGCAGTGTCCTCCGGGGCAGTATCCTGCCCTTACGCCTCGGCCGCCGCAGCCGCTGCTGCAGCCGCCTCCTCCCCCTACGTATATCGGGACCCGTGTAACTCGAGTCTGGCCAGCCTGAGGCTCAAGGCCAAACAACACGCCTCTTTCAGCTACCCCGCCGTGCCCGGGCCGCCCCCGGCCGCCAACCTCAGTCCGTGCCAGTACGCCGTGGAACGGCCCGTATGAATGGCCCGGTCCGTCGACCATCCCCGAGGGCGGGGTCGATAATTCACAGCCTCCCCGGACTGGGGTCGTCTAGACTGGCTTGCCCCTGCCCCGGGGTCTGAGAGGGGTGCTGGGGCAGCTGAAGGGTCGGGGGGAGGCGGCCGGCTCAGGAGAGAGATTTCCCCCACCGCCGACCCTGAGGGGTGGACTGGACCCTACACACAGTCCGCGCCCCTGGGACTAAGGCCAGGAAAAGGGACCAGTTCCCCAGGGGCCAACTGACCCTTGGCCCACCCCGCCTTCTTCAGACTCCTCTCCTCATTTTCAAAGATTAATGAAATAAACGTGCGCGGACTGCCAAAGGCCTGATGATTCAGAGTTGCGATTCAGCCCCCTCCCCTCAAGCTCTCCCATTTCTAAAGGAGAGCTGGGTGTGCAGGAAAGAAGGGCCGGGGCTTCTAGGGCTTCAGTACCCCCTCAGCTCCCAACACCAGGATGGAAAAGCTGGGGGATTCCTGGACCCACGGAGCGCACCTGCATGCGCGTTTGTTGAGTGTGGCTTAGGGGCCAGCAACTTGGCTGGCGTTGGCCAAAGTTGGTGCTGCGGCGCCACCCGGTGGTCTCATGGCGGATAACTGGGAGGTCTGGTCTCCAACGCTTACTTGGCAGGAATCAATTCTGCAACTTAGGAAGCCTATGATCTTAGATAAGTTACTCCGCCTTTCTGCACCTGTTTCTCACTGTTCCTATGAGGGGCTTGGGCCTCTAATAGCAATAAAATTCTGATCTGTGACAGATATTTATTAAGTGCCTACCAGGCCTAGGGTTCTTGAGTGTCTGTGTGTGAGCCTCTCATCCTTCCACACACCTTCTTAGTCTCCTCACCCAGTGATCATCCTGCTTGCCAGCAGCCCTCTCCCATCACAGCAGTCCTCCTCTTCCCCAAAATCCCAAAGCCCCCAAAATCGTGTTGAAATCTTTAATTAAAAAATAGAGCAAGAAGAAGATTTCTGGATAGAAATATAAATAACTCAGTTCTGGGGATCCTCTTCAGTCCTACCCCCAACCCAGGACCTGCTTGGCCTTCACATTAAAAATGGAAACATCAAAGTACTAGATTGCACCCCATCCCAGGGCTGACACTTCTTGTCTGACATAACTTCCTGCCACCTTGGGGCACACATCCCATGGGGAAAACCATGCAGGAAAGGCATCCCAATCATTCTCCCAAACCTAAGCTCAGCCCCTCAGTGCCTTGGTGGGGAGAGAGACTGGGGCTCCTTTTTCTCCAGCCCTTCACTGACTCTTGGTCTTGGCTTTGGCCTTGGGCGTTATGTAGGTGTGGTGGAAGTAATGGGCAAAGAGAATGAAATAGGTCGTGTACAAAACGAGGGACCAGAAGAAGTGTTCCGTTGTGGTGTGGCATCCCTGTTCTTGTCTCCAGATGTAACTTAGGATGCCGACAATGGCTCCCATAAACATCTGCAGGATCTGCAGGCTGGTGATGAGCTTAGGTAACCACGTGGGGGACTTCATTTTGGCAGCCCTCAGAGTGTAGTAGATGTACATGATGGCATGCACACCGTAGTTCATGGTCATGAACCAGCCTCCTGCAGCCACCTTGTTCTTGTATCCAAAGCTCGTGTACACTAGCACTGTGCTGTGGTGGTACCAGTGTACAAAGATGAGTGGCCGCTTACGCAGGATGATGAAGGCCGTGTCTCCTGGGAGATGGGGAGTCATAGCTGGCATACCACCCAGTGCTGGAACCACCCTCCACCCTGGCTGTAGGGGAATGGGGGGAATTCTCAGGGCATGGGGAAGGGTCTTTGTGGAAAATAATCTAAAGAGGGGCTTTGGTAAGAGGTGTTGTTAGGACCCAGGGGTGGGGGGAGGCAGTCTCCATGTGATGGG